AAGTGAAACACAAACAGATTCAAACCTGACATTTTAGAAGTTAATTCAAATATAATTCATCTTTAATCTGGTTTTTCTGTTTCAAATGAGTTGAAATATCACATTTAATTGTCTTTTTTCATTTATATCTATTTGCACTAATATATTTATTTCTCATGTTATTTGTTCACTGTCAGGTTTGGTCCTCCGTACTTTGAGCTGCTGTTTGTATCTGAAACCAGTACATCTGGTCACTGTCGGCACTTTAAGTGCTAATAAATCAAACAAATGTTTCTGAAGTACTTTAAACACTTTGTGTCAACTAAACATTTACTTAAGTACTTGAAACAACAGGAGGCTCAACTGAACAAGTGTTTAAGTACTTCAGTGTCAGCTAGATGGTTTAAGTATTTTAAACATCAATATATCAACTGGACGTTTTCTCTTTGTAAGATAAAGTATTTAAAATACTACACGTCAACATATAATTTAAATCTTTTAAGCTCTACCTATTTGGTATTATTAATCTGGTACTTAGTTCTTTTGTTTTATATAAAACAAGCTAACAGACTACATATTCATATTTTTTGTCTCACATTATTTTTATTCAGTACAGCTTCTCTGTCTCTAAAGCACCGTGTAACTCTGTTGTTGAGCAGTGCTAAAACTTCTTAAAACCACATTGTGTTGATTTCTACATTGTGTGAGTGTCTCAGTGCTGACAGGGTGTATCCAGGTTCTGGCCACACTTCCAGCAGCAGTAATGCTGTTGATGCCACGTCCGTCCATCTTTAGCTGTGTGAAACGACTTGCAGAAGATCAGCTGAGGAAGGAGAACAAGGATGGGGGGGTCAGTTAATGATAAACTGATAATGTTTGTAGGACTATAATAGGCAGACCCTCATCTCCACCTGCCGCAATGACTCTATAGTTAAAAATGGACGTAGTCTCTGTGACGTCGCCCGTATGGTTTCTGAGGAGCCGTTGTGAATCTTGGTGTGGGCGGACATTAGCATCACGGCGGTTCTGACTCTGCAAGCTCTCAGCTAACCCAAAAATGGGCAAAGACGTGGAGCTGAATAAAGCGTGGTTACTGAAAACAGTCGCCTGTAACGGCGCCCACCTGTCACTCAAAGCGATTATGGTCTTAATTATGACTCAAACTCAACTCAAAGCCTCGATATAATTTAATAACAGGTGAGTAATATAATAATTCACCCTCTGTGTTGTCATGAACAGGAAAATTATCTTTAGAGACCAAAAGGCTGTAAAACCTTTTTTATTATATGTTTATTTCTGCTTTAGGCATTTTAATACGGGGCCTTATGGAGATTGACTCACTGCTGGAGTCAAAGTGGCTGTTTGAGAAACTGCAGTTTTTGTTATTATTATTATGACAATTAACTCTTTAATTCAGTTAATGTAAGCCTACATACACTTACAGCTATTATAGCATATTAATTATAAAGTAACTAGAGACAAAAAATATCATAAACCTGAATATACAAATGACAAAAAAATGGTTAACTCCCTGGTTTACTTGTATTTGTTTACAGCCCAGTCTTGCCCGGTCCAATATGACGGCGATGGTGACGTATCCTAACAATGGGCCGAAGCCAACACAGCGGCATCCATGTATTTATATGTCTATGATTTTTACGTCATAAACCAAAGTATATGACAACATTAGAGCACAAGAGGGAAAGTCAGAGGATCAATAAGTCATTAAGATTCATCCTCTGGAGAACAACGTCTTCATCCCCTCACACACATCACTACGTTCCTCTGTCTGATATTGATTATGTCTTACAGGAAGTGATGTCGTCTCACCTCGTCACAGCCTGAGCATCGCGGCCAGACCGTCTGACAGTAGTGTCTTCCACAGAGCAGCTTCTGATCGGACCAGAAGTAGACCAGGTCCACCAATCCCTGACCGCACTCTGAACACACGAAGCAGGTGGGATGCCACAGGGCGCTGTGGTAACCTGCACGCTCAGCATGAACAGCTGGAGTCTCCTTGGCGACCTCGCCGTGGCAACCAGTACACTGCTAGATGGACAGAGAGAGCACAGAATATGAAAGTGATTTAAGGTATCAAGATAGTGGAACAAACTTCTGGTTTAAAATGGGAACGGAAACATTACAGTGAGGAAATTTGAGGAAACTTTCATTGTTACACAAACAGTTACCTGGATATAACTCCAGTTCTATGAGTGCAGAGTAACCCTTAAATTTTTCTGTTGGTTTTCACAAGGTTTCACAATTGCAAGCTAAGAAAGACCAGCACACCCCAAATCAGCTGGTAGCATCTCTTATAACTAAGTAGCAAGCCGTCTGTCCTGCTTTGAACTTTGATAACCACAAGCAACCACAGAAAGCCCCAGAAATAGGTCTGAATTAGATGCAGTCAGGAGTGTGATGAAGCCTATTAACTGTGATATCTTAAGGGTCTAGAATCCTTCATTCAGCGTGATAAGAACCTGATATATTTTCTGAACGACCTGGTGTACAGAAAGTGGGTGTAAACTGGGCAGCATTCACATAACTGAGCATTTAAGGTCTTTTGGGTTTTGAAAAATCTCTAACAGTGCGATGGGAGTCTGCAAGTGTTTGACAAGAGAGGGAAAATAGGGTTGATTCGTTTGATCAATTGTCAACACAGGGTTGTATAATGTGATTAAGTTGTAGTTTCCTTTATGCTACTCACAAAAGCAAATGTTATATACAAAAATGATCTCCAGTAGATTGGTGGTCATAGATATAAAACTATTTTACATGGTTGAGTGCTGGAGGTAGGGCAGCTGATCTGTTCCTCTTGGCAGACGGCAGCAGGGTGAACAAGCTGTTGTTGGGGTGGGTGCCGTCTTTAAGGGTCCTTAGGGCTCTGTGAATGCACCTCATACTGAATAGATGGGTACCAATGATGTTCTGTGTGCTTTAAATCACTCACTACATCCCAATGACAGTTTGTGATGTTTCCAGTACTTTCTATTGCTCCTCTGTAAAAGTTAACAAGAACTTGTGAAGGCAACTAACTGGACCAGAATACCTGTACCGGACTGGGAAAGCACTGCAACCAGTATTAACATGATTTAACCTTTAAAGACGCCTTATTTACTTACATATTCAGTCTTAATGCTTTCATCTGTTCCATTAGTGGATCCAGCAGCGGAGGCAGCGGTGCTATTGGTCGAGCCGTGGCCCTGGTGCTCCAGAGCATCCTTCTTGTTGCTGTTGCTGCGGTCCTTAGCCTCCTTCGCTGTCCTCTGAATGGCTGCTTCCCTCAGAGCGCCACCATCACCAGGTAAGGCCACCTCTCCGACTCCCAGCACCTCCTGTTTATATTGCTTCACAAACAGCAGCATGGAGGAAATCTGCAGGAGGACGTAGGAAGAGATGTTGTTTTAAGTGATACTGGTTAACTAACATACAACACACAGCACATAATTAGTGAGTTACAACAAGCTGATGTTACCATGTTGTCTATAATCATGAGAAATAAATACTTTGGAGTACGGTACCTCTTCCTCACTGGTCAGGCTCTGACATTTCATGGGGTCCTGATCATAGATGGGGAGCTGACTGAAGAGCTGCCTGCGTCGCTCCAACGCTCCTTCTGTCCCCGAGACAGGACGCTGACTCTCTGGGAGGAGCTCCATGTACTGCATAGCCTGAGGGAGATCAGGGAGATTTTACTTATTACTATTTTATTTTTTAAATGTTTTTAGTTTTAGTCAGTAGTGGCAGAAGTATTTAGATATTTTACTGAAGTAAAAAAGTAACTACAGTTGCCAAATAAATGCAGCCGAGTGCAATATGTTAATAGAAGTATAGTACAATAAAACTGAAATAAGTAAAGTACAAGTGCCTCAAAATTGCACTTAAGTACAGTACTTGAGAAAATGTAGTTACTTTCAACCATTGGTGTGAGTTTTATTCCAATAGTGAAAATACATAATTTAAATCAACTGATATGATAAGAGCTCTTAGAAATGATTGATTGATGGCATAAAACTGAAGGAAAAAACATTGCAAAGTTGACTAGCTTATATATGTCTGTCTAAATTAATCAAGATTTATTAAGATCAACATTATTGGCCCCTGAACTGATATAAAGAGCTTTAGCACAGAGTTATAAAATATGTTTGTGTTGTCTTCACATCTATAAAACTCGTTCATATCCACCACATACTGATGAGATTCACCAATATATTTTTATAAGACTTCAGTTATTTATTCCCTCTCAGTGTTAATGATGTGAGTGAGAAAGCTAAAAAAATAAATAAGAAGAAAAAGACTGAAACTGATTGTCTTAAATTAATTAACTTGTCTTTATATCTCTGCGCTGTCTGTTGCTCTTTTGTCTCCACGATACTGAGGATCACTTTAAAACAACATTTTCTTCTCATTTTGGCTGCCATTTCCAGTGTCTCGCCACTGAAATCTTAGCTTGTTGAACTCTAAAGTAAATAAATCAGAAGGTCTCACATCACAGTGTGGATGGCCTTTCTCAATAAGACATGTGATTACACGACTGGATGACACAGAAGAGTCTGTTTCAGTTGTGATCACACTGTCCAGGTGTTGTCAGTGACACATCTGTGTGTTGTCAGATAGTGACGAGCAGAGTCTACGTGCTTCATTTCACAGCAGAATACAAAAGGGATGGATGAAACAAACAACATGCAGTGTGTTTAAAGCTGTGTGATTTTCTTTTGTTCTTTTTTGAAGTAGATGCTGATCTGATCTGAAGAGCTGTCCCAGTGTTGGATCTGTCTCTACAAGTTCAACCACAGTAACGTCCGCTGTGACTCCCCCAGTGCTCAATAATCACTGTCATGCTCATAATTATAGGTTGTGAAACCTGAAACATACTTGAGTCTCTGTTTTTAATGGAAACCAGATGGACTATTCCACACGCAGAGAGGGCTGCACAAACTGAAACAAAAATATTATAACGAGTAAAGTGAATCTATAAGGACAGGAATCAGAATCTGTATTTGCGTTCATCATACTTTTTGTGCTCCTTGAATCAACACACTCACTTTCTTTGTTTATCAGCATGTGACAACACGACAACTATGGTTGCGTACTAGTGACGGGTCTTAAATTGGGACCAGTTACTGAAACCCAGAACACCAATACACCGATGCTGCTGTCAGTATTTCACACATTTGTTCCTTTAATGATAATGTGTTTATTAGCATTGTGTGGCTCTGTGTCTGTGTCTATTAGGTATAAATCTAGTGAGACAATAACACCATATATGCTGTGTTTGGGTTTTTCTGAGCTACTGCTCAACCGCCACTGCACCCGGTCCACTCTGCCTCCTTTACAAAGGTTTAAAAACAAACATAAACCAATTTACTGTTTACTGTTTTTTTTA